TCAGATTCAACCTGACCCAAATATTTAGAATTTGTTTCTAAGGAAGATTGATAAAAGGTCATAACTATGTGACATAAAACACCTTTTGGCCTACAAAATGTATCTTCAGAGAAGCAGAGCTAAATTGGAGCTAATTAACACTATCTTTTCTATCAATCGATATGGAGAAGTTACACTTCTTATCAGTCTGTAATTCTATGGTACCAATTATGAATTATTTTCTCCTTCACTAACTTTTTGTGTGTGGAAAAATCAACCACTTTATTTTCTCTTTCTAATAAGGGAGAGGACAAAAGATTAAACAAACCTATCCCTACCTTCTTTTTCCAAATAATGAGTTGCCTATGTCACTAGTTTATTCTTTTTCAGATTTGAAATTAAAGTGAATCCTAGAGACAAGGATTCACTAGTTATTACTTATTAAATTTTAATCTTCCCACAAGTATGTTCAAATGAGATAAAAATAAATAATTGCCTAATTTGCACTACTAACTGTCAGGTATCAAAGTTTTATATTACACATGGTATTTACGGATAACATTAATAACGGAAAATATTAGTGCTGATTCTGAGTGAACTTTATTAACAGTTGTATCTTCTCTGAGATAAGCAGAAAATGTAAAGTTTATTAGCTGCCATGTAGATCCTTAAAATATATTAAATTTTATTTTTCTTGATCCTTAGGAAACCTCAAAATATTTCATAGAATAAAATAAGATTAAAGTGAGAGAGTGAGTGTTCTCATGATGGTTCTCTAACTCAGTTAAAGCATTTATTAAATATTTCTTGAGCATTTCTGGAGTGATAATTTCACATCCTAGAGATACAGAGAGGAGTCAGGTTTAAAATTTTTATTATGAAATTTCAGTTTATTATATAATTCCAATGAAATTCTTGAATAAGATGAAGTTGAACTCATTATACCAGAAGCACTATTGAAGAATTTCTAGTTCCTCATTCTATAGAAAGGCTTCATTGTACAGTATTTTCAATTAAAATTTTAATTTTAACTCGATAATTTTTATTGAGGTAATTTTAGATTCACACACATTTATATAAAATAATACTAAAAGAACTCTTAAACATGTTGCCTAGTTTTCCCCAGAAGATATATTTTGCCATCAACATTTAGCAGATTTCTTCAGTTTTCCTTGTTCAGCAGTGTGAGTTTGTCCGTGTGTGTGTGCAAATTAAATGCTATAGAATCTTATTACCTGTTTAGGTATCCACTCTGACAGTGAAGATACTAGATAGCTCTAAAATTAACAGATCTTTCTATTGCCCTTTTATACTACACCTAGTTCTCAAACTGTGCTCCTATCTGTAATCCCTGGTGACCAGAAATATATTTCAATATTCATGAGTTTTATAGTTGTGAAAATATTATAAAAATGAAGTCTTGGAATGTGTCACTTTTGGAGTTACCACTTTTTTTCAGAATAACTTTCTTGAACTTATTTTGTTCTTTCCTTTTCAATGCTAAGGACAGCAGTCTCCTTAACCACTCACTTACTGGAGGATGCTGGGATTATTTCAAGCCTATTACCAAATAATAATACTAATAAGACTAATAGTAATAACTTCAATAAACATTCCTGTACAGCTTTGGTATGGGCATAAATTTCCATTTCTCTTGAATAAACAAACATAAAATTTATAAGTGTAATTTAGGATTCCTTTGTGTGTTTAGTCCTAAGTAATGTATGAGAAATTAATTTAAATCTCACTGACATTGCATGCAGGCATTATTTCTCACTGGTACATATTTGCTACACACAGTGATTACATTTATCTTAGGGGTTTGGTGCATATACACGTCATATCGTGATCATTTAATCCCATTGCCCCACCAGCCTCCTTCTCCCTCCTTCCCAAATCTGTTTTCCATCTCCACATACACTCCTTCCTTGTTCTGTAACAGTCCTCTTGTTTTGTTCTTTAAATTATTTACACTTTTGACTGTCTCGTATTACTGGAGTCACTATGATGGCTGCAGTGATATCTTACTGCAGTGTTAGTTGCTGTTTGCTGGATGTGACTATGTTTTCTGTATTAATTTGCTCACTATCTTCATTGAAATGTCTCTGTGACTTCTAATCATTTACTAAGTTTTACTTTTGGTCTTGTTACTGTTGAATTTGGAGAATGGATGTGTACGAATAGAGATGCACATGCATATCTTATATAGCAGTCTTTTATATGGTTTTCAAATATTTACTTTATGACATTTACCTTTCTCATATGAATTTTTGCAAAACTAGAGTTGTGAATTCTAATAAAGGTCAATTTACCAATTGTTCAATTATTAATAATGTATTTGGTGTCAATTAATATCTCCTTTCTAACCCTTCCATACTCAAAATGTTTATTTCTTTTATGAAAGCTCTTTAGGATTTAAACTACATTATCCATTTTCAGGTAATTTTTGATATTGTTTAAGGCTTATATCAAGGTTTATTTTGTTGCATGTGGGTATACAATTCTTCCAGCATCACTGTTTAAAAAACAAACTTATTGAGTTTTTAAAACAAATTGATCATAATTGGTTCTCTTTTTGATTTCTCTGTTCTATTACACTAGTTCCTTCTTCCACCACTACCTTAGAGTCTGGGTTATTTCAGTTGTATTGAAGACAATATCAAGGAAGGTGATTCCTTCCACTTTATTCTGCCTCTTTGTTAAAAACCACTTTAGCTACTTTGTAGCCTTTCCCTTTCTGTATTAATTTTAGAATAATCTTTGTATGTTTATACAGATCTTATAGAAATATTGGCAGAAGTTACATTGAACATATAGATCAATTGTGGGAAGGATGATTTGTTTACTATTTTAAAATTTCCAATATAAACTAAGTTGTATCTCAACATTAACTGAGGTTTTATTTTACTTCTTTCATCAGCATTTTATTGACTTTAGGAACATTTTGTTAAGTGAATATCTAATCTTTTTTAATATGGACCAATAATAAATATATTTTGTTTTGAAATTCTCAGATCATTCCTTAAATGTAAAATATAATTGATTATTGTGAGCTGATGTTGTACCTTTTAACATTCTTAAACTCACTTGTTAATTCCAGAAGATTTTGAATGGGGCAAGGGTCAAATGTATATATCTCCACATACTCTGCAAAAACAGATAATTAAGTACTGATTTTCTAATGTGTATAGTTTTCATTTCTTTCTCACAGTATTTCAATGACTATGTATTTAAAAGTGTTGAATTGTAGTAGTCCTGGAAACAGACATCTTTGTATTATTCCTGATCTTGGGATGAAAAGAATCTGTCTTTTTTTTTTTCAATAAATACAGTGTTAGCTACAAAATTCATTTTGAATTGTGCATCTAGTTGAAAAAAATTCCTTCTTCTGTGAACTTGTGAAAGTCAATTATAAAATAAGTGTTGAAATTTGTCAAGTGTTTTTCTATATCAGTGGATAAAATGATGTGATTTTCACCTTTAGCTCATTGACATGATGAATTAGAGTGATTTTTGATTGGTTAAATAAGAATTTCATAGCTTGTGTTGCATTTTTCTGTTATGTGTTGCTGGATTTTGTTCATTAGTATTTGTGGGAGATTTTTTAATTTAAATTTATGAGTGATATTTGCCTTATCTTTTTCTATTTTTTTGTATTATGATAGTATGATTCTCATGTAATGAATTTGAAAATTTTCCAAAAATCTTATAGTTTCTGGAAGAAATTAGAAAAATTATTGTAAATTCTCTTGTAAAATTTTGGTAGATTTTAACTCTAAAATCACCAGACTCCAAGATTCCTTTTAAGGGCTTTTACTCAGAGACTGGGGATACAGCTTAGTAGTTCAGCAACTGCCTGACAAATGTGAGGTCCTGAGTTTGACTCCTGACCTACACAAACACAAAAAAGAGCTTTTACATTACAAACAAAATTTTGTTAATTGTTATGTCTATTCTCAGTTTATTGAGATTTAGGTTGTAAAAAATTGGTCTATTGTTTTTCCAATGATTGAAGCTTATTAATATAAAGCTTTTTCTGTTTTTCTCTATTTTCCTAACAGCTACAGGATTTGTATTTCTTTTCCCTGTTCCATTCTTTTTGTGTATGTATGTCTTTTCGAGACAGGATTTCTCTATGCAGTTCATGCTTTCCTTGAACTCACTTTGTAACGCAAGCTGGCCTCAAACTAGCATATTGATCCTCCGGCCTCAGCCTCTCAAGTGCTGGGATTACAGGCTTACTCCACCATGCTCGGCTTACCTGTTTCTTACCTATTTCATTCTTGATAGTGGTGATTTGTTTCTTTTAAAATTTTTGCCCATCTAGACAAAGGCTTAAAGATTTTACTGATTTTTTTGAAGAACCAGTTTTTTTGTTCATTTTTTATATTTTCTTGTTTTCAATTACGTTTATTTGAATTTTTCATGCATAGATAAATATGTTTAAACTTTCTTTTAACTATAAGTAAATTCAAACAGAATCCTACAAAACAGAATACTGTACACTGCTGTCTGTACACATCATAGAAAACATAAAAATCTGGGTGACTGATGAGCGGGTGCTGGTGATGAAAACTGCAGGATCGAAATTTGCTCAACAATTAACTGGAGGACACTGCAGCTTAATGAACACGGCCCACCCATATTATTAATGGTTTTGTCAATGTTTGGACCAAAAAAATTCATTATTTTCTCTTTTTTCCTCTGCTTACTTTGGTCTGTGTCTGGCTACATGGCCGGAGGGAAAGTTGCTTTTTGAAGTCTACTAAACAATCTGTACTTCTGAAATGGAAACAAAGTCTTGACGGGAGATTCAATAAGTTGAGATGTATGGGGGAACTGCATCTCTCCGCTGCAGCTTACGTCTTCCTCTGAGAGCAACCTAAAGACTCCTATTTCTAAAGACTTGGTTTTTTTTTGTCTTTTTTCCGGTACCAGGAATCAAACTCATGACCTTGCATTTGCCAGGCAGGCGCTGTGCCGCTGAGCTTAATCCCCAGCCCCCAAGACTTGGTCTTTACCTCTGCCTCTATGGTGTTCTGCTCAGACTGTTCCAAGAGACCAAGGAGTCGGCCTTCATTGCGGCCTTTTTCCTTTGGGTTCTTCACCCGCGTCCCTTTCACAGCTGGACACGCTTTACCCTTCTCTTCGGGCCCATTCCTTGGTCACCCTGGCAAGCTGGAGACAGGAGTCAACATGACACTGATGCTATCTGAGTGGGACCAGGGATTTACACAGATAACACTGCTCAAGCTTGTCAGTGTCTAGGGAAGTCTGTGTAGCTGTCCCTCTATCACTCCTGCTCTTGGCCTCTCTGTCTCTGAGTGAGCATGCATCTTGCTCCATTAGACCGTTGTGGTACACAGCATGTCGCTCCGTCATTGCGGGTGGGAAGCCTTGGTCACACAGTCGGCATGATACCCGGTCACTAGACGAAAAAGCAGAAGTAGGTGTTTCCTTCTCATCATCTTCCTTGGTAGCAACCTTCTTATCTCCCATTATTATTTTTACTTCATCCAGAGTCTCCCAGCCACCTGATGAGTCTTCTCTTTCAAGATCAGAAGTTTCAGGGGAACTTAACTGTATCTCAGGACACACAGTGATTTCTTCTGCAGAGCTCTCTGGCATAAAGAGTAAGCTTCTCTTCCCAGTCAAAGTAGCAGTGCTTTGTGAACGAGGCACAGAGTTGCCTTCTTCAGAAGTTTCTTCAACAAACATCCCTTGGGAAGAATTCAGGCTGTCAGCCATGGCTTTCCTCAAGAGCTCCTCTTCTTCCTCTTCCTCGCTGTTCATCTCCCCAGCTTCCTGCTCACTCATTTTGAGAGCCAAGGCAAACTTTTCTTCTTCTGTCATCTGTGCAGTTTTTCTTTTGGTGAAACACTTTGCTCCGTTTGACTGCTTTGTCTTCATTTTCTGCAATCCGGTTTCATCCTTTGGTTCCACTCCATCACTATCAGATATCACAATGAACGCATCTTCAACTCTACGCTTCCTCTTCATACTGACAGAACTGGTGGTTTCTGCATCTTTCCCCAGGTTCTGAGATTTAGAAGCTTCTTTAACTTTTCTCTTTCTCCGTGGTTTACTTTTGTCTCAGTGTGAGGAGACACCAGTGGAGAAGCCTGCCGTGGCCAGGCACAGAGGGAGAAGGCATTAGCATTTATTTCAATTTTTATTTTATTATTTCCCTTTTGGGATATATTTTATTCATCCTAAACTTAGATTATTGATTTGAAGTCCACATTTTCTACTAAGGTAACTAAGTCAATATTTGCTGCTAAGGTTTACTAACGTAAATATTTAATGCTATCATTCTCCCTCTCAAAACTGTTCTAGTTCAGTTGCACATTTTGCTTTCTTACACATTTTTGGTCAGTTTGATGTATTATGTTATTTTCTGTAATATATATTTTACTTATAAATATTTAGAAGAACATTATTTAATATCTACATTTTTAGTGTTTGTTTATGTTATTGATTTCCTGTTTGATTTCATAACTATCAAGAGAATCTACTATGAAGAATATAAATTACTTTAATTTTGGTTTTTTGGGTTTTATTTTCAGTACCAGGAACCGAACTCAGGACTTTGCACTTGCCAGGCAGGTGCTGTGCTGCTGAGCTAAATTCCCAGCCCCTATTACTTTCATTTTGTTGAACTTGTTTTATGGTCTACAGAATAGTTTATCTCCATAACTCTTTCATGGCTATTTGATATATGTATAAGGCATATTGAATAAGAGTATTTTAAATACAATGATTAGATCTTGTTTGTTGATTTTATGTTTATATCTTCTGTATCTTTGCTGAATTTGTTTTGTAGTTCTATCAGTTGCTAGAAGGAAGATGCTGAAATTTCCAACTATAATTGGGTTTTTTTTTTTGGTTTCTCTTTTCAGCTCTATTAGTTTGTATTTTGTCTTGACTGCTTGATGATGGTGTATATATATTTAAGATCATTTTGACTTGCAGGTAAATATTTCCTTTTTTCACTGTGTAATAATATGCCCCTGTTTTCCTCTATTTTCCTTGCTCTGAAGATTACTTTATATGTTTCTAATACTAAGAATGTTACTGCTCCTTTTCTGAGATTAATGCTTTTATACTATATTTTTTTCCATCTATTTGTTTATTTGGGTAGGGTGAGGGTACCAGAAATCAAACTCAGGACCTTGCACTTGCCAGGCAGGTGCTGTGCCACTGAGCTACATTCCTGACCCCAATCCAGTTATTTATAAGCAGCCAATATTTTAAAATTTGAACTGAACTTATTTAAGGTAGCCTTTATGTACATCATAGTTTTTACCTATTTTCCTGTCATTGGACTGGTACATTTAGACTACCTAGATTTAGGATAACTATTGACATGTTAGAACTATCTAATATTTATTACTTAAACCTTCTTGTCTTCATGTATTTCAGCTTTGTTTCCCTTCCTTAGTTAGCTGAACTTTTTAAGAATTCTATTTATAGTTGAGTAGTTTTGAATATATCTCTTCTTATAAGTTTCATAAAAATTGCTCTGAATATTAAAATATACATATGTGGGGGCTGGGGACTTAGCTCAGCTGCACAGCACCTGCTTGACAAGTGCAAGTTCCTGAGTTCGACTCCCGGTACTGTAAAATAACCAAAAAATAAATGAATAAATAAAATATATATATGTGACATATAACAACTTATTTGTATTAAATTTTTACTGTTTTTTTTTTTTTTTTTTTTTTTTTTGGTTTTTCTCCGGTACCGGGGACTGAACTCACGACCTTGCGCATGCCAGGCAGGCGCTTTTGCCGCTGAGCTAAATCCCCAGCCCCTAAATTTTTACTGTTCTTATTGATGTATTGAGTTTTAAATTCTATTTATGCCCCTTAATTATGTCACTTTTAATATCATTTTTCAGAACCATATACCAATATAAAGTTTTCAAAGTAACCAAATATGAGAAAAATTTCTGTTGATACGTATTTGTCTATTTTATGTTCTCCTAGTACTTTTCCATTTGAATGTCTTTTCACTTTGTAATAGTATGAAGCTTCATTATTTTATTTTCTCTTTGAATAATGATTCTAGGCTGTCTTTAATGGAGGTTGGATACTGATAAATTCTTTTAGTTTTAGTATCACATTCCTCATCTGAGAAGGAATCTTTACTCTTGAATGATAGTTTTGTGGAATTTGGATCTTGTTGTTGGCAGTTCTTTTCTTTCAACATATGTAAAGAGATGGGGCACTTCACTCTGGTTTTCATGGTTTCTATTGATCTAAAACTAAAGAATGCTCTCTGGCTATTTTCATGAATTTCTTTTTAACTGTTTAGAAAGTGGATTATGATATGGAGTTGACACAGATTTCCTTAAGCTTATCTTTTGTGTAATTTCTTCATATATTTAGACCCGAGGTTTAGCCCTTTCCTCTAATCTGGAAACTTTTCAGTCATCACTTCTTCCATATGAAGAAATGTTTATCACTACTATCCTTCATGAGAGTCTGATTTATCCTTTATACTTGTCCCACAGCCTTGTGAGGCTCTGCTCTTTTTTTACCCAGCTATTTACTTTCTATTGTTCAGGGTGAATTTATTGCCTTGCTTTGATTGTAAACTCCACTCTATTATTAAGAAAACCCAGTGAGTTTTCATGTTTTATGTCATCTCTTCAGTTATATAAATTTTACTTGGTTCTTTGTTTTTTGACTTATTTCTCTTCTGAAAGTTTCCTGTTTCCTGTTTTTGGTAAGACTTCAGCTAGCCTGCTTATCCATGTTAAAATTACTAGGTATTGCCACAGGATCCGTTGCACAACCCAGAACAGCATGAGCTCACATATTTTGTGCATATCTACGTTTGGGGTGATGGATGCAGAATCCATGTGTTCTTCTCAAGGACTGAGAAATATGTGACTCCATGGCTTTGTGCCATCCTGGGAGCTGGAGTTCCAAACGAATTTGGCTTCCACTTATTACCCTTCAGGATTCTCTCTTGGTTGCTACTTTCCCTATCTCTAGAAGTTATATTTATGCTTATTGTGAAGAGGAGGAAATGGGTATATTCTATCATATCTGGATGAGAATTTCACTTTTTTAACTGTCTAAATTTCAAACATCAGTATCTTATACTTGAGTGTTGTTATGGTTTGTGTGTGGATGTCCCCCTAAAGCCTCATGCAGACATGGGACGGGCTTTTAGAGTTTATGATTGATTCGTGGGTGTGAGTGCTACACTCACCCTAGGGTGGATAGCTTGCATATGTAAGGGAGATAAAGAGGCTGCTTGCCTCTACTCCTCCCTTTTTGCTCTGGCTGTTTTGCTATCTCTGCAGCCACGAAGATTGTCCTCTGCCATGTGCCACCCTGCCTTGGAGCCAGCCAAGTATCGACTGAAACCTCCACAAACTGTGACCTAAATAAACCTTTCCTTTCCTTCCTTAATTCTGGGTGTCAGGTATTTTGTCTCAGCAACAAGAAAAAAGTAACCAAGACAAATGTAAATCTAGAATATATTTTTAAGCGCTAAAGCAAATTTTACTTTAAACTATTCATACTACTAATACCTTATAAAAGAAAGAAAATAAAATACAGGACACATACAAAGTCTTCTACTCAGTGTTTTGCCAGCTATTTAATTATTTTTCTATAGATAATAATGTATTTATATTATATTTTATAGCTTATTTTTTCAACAATATACCTTGCTATTTATCAGGACATTCTGCTTTCTGGATAACTGATAAAACCATTATAATATTTGTACTACTAATTGAATTCCATTATATAAACCTCTCAATTAGTTTTTTGAAAATTTAGGATACTAAACTTCCCTGAAAAGAAAAAAAAAAAAAAAACATGAATCATCATTAAAAACCTAAGTTTTACTTTGTTTGAATATCTACCCTATCCACTAAAATTGTAATTCCTTATGAGCTAGGTTGTTTTAGAAAATTTCTTTGTGTCCACATCACTATCAATAAACAATGGATGATGTTATAAAATAAAAGGGATTTTTCTTCTTAAAATCTGTCTGCATATTATACCATTTCTTCATTCAGCTAGTCTTTCTTGTACTCACTCGTTATAGCCTCGGTAAAACGAAGTGACAGTATGCAGTGTTAACAATGAAATCTCACGAACTGCTATATATTTTTATGTAAAATTTTTTTAAATTGCTAAACGTCAAATACAAAGTTACATTTTTTTCAAAACAATGAAATTATTCTTCTAATAGTAACTCTAAATACTGAAAATTTTTGGTAGATAGTCTGAGAGGACTAGAATTACAGATACTAAGCATGAGTAAAAGTAGATTATTCTCATTTCACACAGAATAAATTGCTTCTGCCAAAAATAATAATGAATACTGTAGAATAATATCTACATTTATTTAAGCTTCAAATTCAGGAAAAACAGAACATTAGCCTTTAAGTAGGATTCTATTAGTTAAATGGTTAAACTCATGGCTGAATATTTTTAGAAGTATCTTATGATTCTTATTTATTACAGCTGCAAGACCTGTCAAAGGCTTTTAGGGCAAGAATTATGACATAAGCTTGACAATATGTAATTTATATAGAAAATACTTCTGGAGAAAACAAGGAGAAAAATGTTTATAGAGGTGATCTTATATGACAGCAATATATCTTAAAACATTTGAAAGACATGGCAATTTTCTGCTCTTTTCAAATATTCCACTTTTACTCTTCTGCTTGTTTTAAAAACTCTCAAGCTTTTTTGAGCTTGAAAAGCCAAGAGGTACTAATGTGAAGTTGGAATACTTTAGGAAATGTTATTTAATACGCAAATAAATGTGTTTTCAGCAAAGTATGGGACCAACGAAAATTAATAATGTCCAAATGAAGTTTTCCCCTGAAGTGAGAAGAAAACTGCAAGAGAAATCCATGATTTTCAACAAGTAAGAACTATTCAAAACAAGAAGGGATGAATTACTGAAGATATAATTAAATAAAATTTGCATCAATTCAGTGAGTTGGTAAGTAAAAGCCCTGTAAAATAACTGCTGAATTAATGTGATTTTCCTTAAATATGAAGAAAATGGTTTACTTATAAAACACAAATGGCTTTATGAACAGTTTGC